AAGGCCAGAGGGACGGATCTGTATCTCTCATACCTAAGAATATTACCTTTTAATTCTTACTTCAGTTTGTGGTTTAGCTAGAGCATTGTTTGGAGAGGACTAAATGGAAGGGCCAAAACCACATTCTTAATTCTTTTCCAAAGCTAATTCAACTAACAAGATTAAGGGCAGATTCCAGATCCAGTGACAATAAACCCTTCAGGCTACTTACAATTTTTTATTTTTTATTTTTAAGAATCTGTGCTTCATTGACATTTACCCTTGGGCTAATTCAAATAAGTCACTGCACACTTGTTAAAAGTACTGTAGAGATGCTGCATAGATGGGGATTGCTACATTCTTTTTTTTTAAGGATATACAACCCAGTTCTATTTATGGTAACCAGAATCTTGTCAAGATCCTGTGACTGCCATCTGATAGATGAGAAAAGAAAAGGCAGCAGCTTGAATAAAATAAAAAGCCATAAGCATATCAGAAAATAAACGCTGCTAAAAGTGCTCTCAGTAAGAGAGACAAAAAAGAAAAACCAGCACCACATAGAACAAAAGATCAATATTTTATTGACTAGAAAACAAAATGCTGTATGCCGGTAGTTAGTCATAATCTATATGGATTTTATGCCATTACAGTTCAGCACTGGGCAAATTATGCTCACATAGTGTACTTTTCTTTACTTTTGCACTCAATGTAATGACCATTTTCAGTAAAAGTAGAGACATATCTAATCCCAAACCTGGGATTGACTTCAACAGGCTGTATATTAGGTTCTAAAAGGGAACTTGTGGTCTTAAATTAATGAGTAAGACATTCATTAAACTATATGAAGAGTGTGGTTAATGTCAGATTCTGCCAAATAGTACTTCCTTGCACAACTCATCACACTAAGGCTAGGGATAGAAGTTACACACAAACCGGTTCAAGTGATCAGAAACTGGTTTACACCTGTAACTGAACAGAAGCTCAGTGCACATAAACTAGTTTAAAAATGGCTGAAACTGGTTTAAGATAAACCTGGTTGAATGCAGCATCAGACATAACCGATTTGGGTAAAACCAGTTTATGAAACTTCTGTCTCAGACTGTCCAATAGTGGGCTTTAACCCCAGAAGTCCCACCCCTATCTGTGGTAGAGGCATGTCTCTATCGATCTAAGTGTCGTCAATCTCTGGAGCTCATCACTTGTCTGAGTGGCTTCTTTTCCGTTTTTTTCCCCTTTTTTTAACTTTATCTTCTACACCAAGACAACTTTAGCACCTTGGCTAACAAGCCGAAATCCACCGTGATGTCTTACTGGCCTCTTCCACATGTCTGTGATCTCACCTGCCATGACCTATTGTTATGGGAGAAAACAGAATGCTGGGGCATGTGGGTCTTGACACTTTGGCTCTTGCAATTTGCCTTAGTGCAGTGAGAGCTCCACCAACCCCTACACCCTCGCCCGTTCCACCGGGTGGTAATTGAGTTGTCTCTGCAATCTGCCTTTGAGCAGTACAAAAAAAATGCTCCTTGGGTCTCTAGGTCTGGCCAATCAGTATTCCTGATGGGCCCAGTTGTACCTCGCCTGGCTGGCACCTGGCACAGACCTGCCATTAATCCTAGCCAGTCTTTTTCCTGGTTTATTGTCCTGATAGTTGTAAACACACTATCTGGGGTGACTTTCCTTTCACCCTAACAAAAAGGAGAACAAAAAAACCAGACTGGCACTTCTGCCCTTATAGTCCCAACTTTGCGGTACCCTTTTTCTTCAGCCCTGCTATTAGGGTTATTACGGTACCTTCTAACTGCCTCCAGCAGTTTCTGTTTTTCTCTGGGGTTTCCTTCAGGGCTCTTTTCCCTGGCAGCTCCCTCCACAGAGTTGCTTCCCTTAAGCCCGGTCTCCCTTGCTTCCTCAGCGCCTCTGGCTCTCCCTGCCGTCTCACTGCCTGACTCAGTCTCTTCTGGTTTCCTGTTTCCCTCTTTTGCCTGCCCCGCGTTTCCTTTTATCTTGGAGTTCTGGCTGACTCTCTCTCCCCTCCTGAAACACCAGGTGAAGAAGGAGCTCTGCGGAGTTCTTTGCAATACAGGTGGGGCCATTTTACTTCTCTGGGGCTCTTCTCTCTCCTTACACAGACCCCATCCTGGGTCAAGTTAAATCACAGTCCCCCAGTATCCCAACATGCTTTGAAGCCCAGTTGGAGTAGGGAGGGCTGGCTGACAAGGGAGTTGTGGGGAGGAGTGTGGGAGCTGCAAGTCTAGCTGGGGATGTAGCTGAGTCTGGGAGGGGGAGGGGGCTGGAGTCAGGGAGGGGGTTAAACACCCCTTCCCATGCTCAAAATTTCTGCTGGCAGCAACTATGGACTACAAATCCCAGAGGCACATGGAAGCAGGAAGAGGATGTGATGAGTAACCCTGCAGTGTCCTGCTACTGTAATACTGGACTGCAAATCCCAGAGACCTCAGGGGCAGCATGAAGAGGAAGTGAACACACAGCTTGGGCTGGCTATGTGTCAGACAGCCATGCACTGGCATCCCCTGGCTTCTGGCATGTGGCTGCATTTCCTGAATCAAAGGTAAATGTCTGTACACTTCTGTTTCAACGTAATCTCTGCATCTTGGACTAACCTGCAAAGACTGAATCAATTCAGCCTTGGGCGTTTTGACTGTCTGTACTTAGCCTAATAGTTTAATGACAGGGCAGTATGGAACACTGAAGGGAAGAAACAGTTTCAAGATCAATCTAGATGGACTCAGACCCTACTAGTACAGAAGTTCAGAAAGCTGGTGAAAACCTCTGTAAATGTGCTGAGGAACAAAGCTGCATCACACTGTTGATATAAGGGAGGGCTGCACAATTGTACTGTATGTATTAGAAGTGATATACTGGTAGATGGATGTAGCATTTTAGAGGGTGTGAGGCATGTTCTTTGTCCTAAAGAATTTTGGCCTAGATCCTAATTAACCTGCAAGGCTCCTCCAGTGCTTGAAACTGAGGTGCCTTGCTTCAGGGTGTTGATACTAGTCACCATGTTAGGGGCCGGGCTGCCTGTATACTGAATGAGATACATGGTACCACTCAAGTGTTGCCTAGTCCCTCAACAGGGAAATGTTTACAGTGAATAGGAAATGTTCCTGCTCTTCCTCTGAGCTTTAGTTAGTCACTGCTGATTGCTAAGGGCTATGTTGCCTGAGGGAAGAGCAGGGTCTCTGTATGAACTAACGTATCTAACTTATAACAGCACTGACCCCTGCTTTTCACTGTTGCCACAAGGCTATTCAGCCAAAAGGTGGGCAGTGTTTTGTACTGATTCTGAAAGCAAGCATACAGTTGTTTGGCATGGTTTGCCTCCACTTAAGGAATCTGACTTGGATGGACCTTAGTTGTTCCCAACCCAGAACTTTCCAAGTTGACTGGAATGCAACAGAGCTTGCAGGAGTGAGTTGCCCAGATGATCTGGGTCTGAGCAGGCACAGAAGTCTAGGAAACTTGTCAAGTCAAAATAGAAGTGCCTTGTGCACTTAAGTGGTTTTGTGACTCTTAAATGGTGTTGAGTAGGATCATGCTTTGTAACTAAAACACCTAATTTCTGCCTGAGATCAGTTTTTTGCAAGGTTTATGAGAATCAGGTTCTTACAGTGTAATACAGACAAGGCAAGCTTATATGAAAAAAGGCACAAGGCCGAAGTTGCAGGAAGTGAGAGCAAGGATAAATTGCTACTAATGAGAACAGATGGATTCCTGGAGAATGAGTTTTTGAGTGCAAGGAATAGGTAGCTGGACCAACAGGAAGCAGAGCACTCTTAAGCCATACCTTTTCTTAAGAAAGAGAATTGATTTTTATTGTGTGATCTAAATACTAGGGAAAGCCAGGCTGTTCTAGTTTTAAGGCATAGATGGGCTGGTTGAGGTACTTTTGCACTCTAAATGATCTGTGATGATCAGCCTCATGCTAGACTAAAGCATACTTTTATGTATTTATATTCAATGGAAAACTTATACAGAAAAATAATAAATGAAGCTAGCTCACTTTGGGTTAGGTCAGGTTGTTATCCGGCTCTTTCCGTGACTAAAATCTTAAAAGAGAGAGAGAGTGTGTGTGTGTGTGTGTGTGTGTGTGTGGCAGTTGGGGGGTTAAGGCATGTATGATTTCAGAGCACAAATTAGCCACTAAGCCTAGGGACAGACATTCAAAAAGCCTGAGCCTGAATTGATTCAGTCTTTGCAGGTTAATCTAACCTGGCTAGGCTGAACCAGTTTGTAACTGAACAGACATCCCCTCTGGACTGAAAAAATGCAGGCATGTGCCTGCAGTGTCTCAGGCTAGAAGCCGGGGTGTGCTAGAGCAGCCCTCCCTTCCCTTCCACAATGATGAGCTGAGGGAGGCATGGCCAGGCCCTGGCAGGATGCTTTGATCACAGAGGGGTCCCCCCCACCCTCCCCGAGCAGCTCAGCAGGGAATTGATAACACAGTGCTTATCACCACTAACTCAGTGTTTATCACCCCATTAAGAAAACAACAGAGGGACATTACCAGCTAACTGTTGATTCTGGGTTTGTCCCATCTGCCACAGCCCAGTATGCGGTCTGCTGTGTGCCTGTATAAGACAGAGGGAATGGAGAAATCTCTGCTTGGGAGGGAGTGGGGAGGGGAAAGGCAGGAAGACACCTCTAGTCTCTGTCGAACTCCAACCAGGGAGCAGAGGGGAGGGGCCAGCCCTGCTGTGGAGCAAAGAGCCCTGCCCAGCCTAGAGAGTATGCTGAGTTGCTGGGGGAATCTGATTTAACTGCAACCAGCAAAGGGGTCTGAGACAGACATTGCATAAACTGGTTTGAGCCAAATCAGTCAAGTCTGATACGACATTCAATAAAGTTTATCTCAAACTGGTTTCAGCCACTTTCAAACTGGTTTATGTACATGGAACATCTGCTCTGTTATAGGTTTAAACCAGTTTCTGATCACTTAAACTGGTTTATGTGTAATGTCTGTCCCTAGCCTAAGTGCTGGAGTTCAGTCCATCCCTTGCCTCAAATCAGAATCAACTATACTTAAACCAGTTTTTGCAGACTTTTGCTGAACTCTGTTATATTGTGTTCTAGGAGATAAACAGAAACTGTTTATCAACAAATAGGAAATGGCAGTCATAAAAATGTCATTTACCTCTGGAATCTCTAAATATGCACCTGGAACTTTTGACATACACCCGTGGCATGCCAGAACTTCACATTTTTTACAAGCTGCTTATTTAACATACAGTATATTGATATTCAGAAATCTGGAAAAGCAAGTGGTTCATTGCCCAAGAATACAGCTGTGTAAAGGAATTCTGGTTTATCTTAAAATGAGTGTAAACATTATATATCTCTTTAGCAGCTCTGTAATATATTGATTAATGAAGGCTGTGGAAGAAATGTAAGCTGTCCCTTTTCTTGATCCTCTTGGCCTTGTACTGGCTAGCTGCTCGCTTTGAAGAAGTAATGCAGCTTTTCTCTTTTTTCTTGTACCGCAGGCATTTCTCCTTCTAGCTGCTGCACAAGGCAAGGTTTGCCAGTTGTTGCCTTTGTCGGCATGGCAGTGTTGCGGCATAGGAGGGAGGTGGGACATTATTCTGATTAAATATTGTGGCTTAGTGAGGAACAGCTGTTCCTACTTTTCTACACTAGAGTCTGAATTAGTAGTGTACTGGTATCACCTCACTAATGTCACAGATCATCCCTCCAATATAGACTTTCATGTTCATTTTTGGTTTAAGTAAGATAAAATGTAAATTTTTAAGCTCTCAACAGCAGAGTGCACTGCATTATAAGAAGAAATGGACTGTATTTAGGTTAAAAGTATATACAAATCCCTTTTGAATAGTTTGCTTAGCCAGTACTGTTTGGCTTAAAATCTTTTTACATGATATAAAGCATGCATAGAGCAGTTGAGCCTTGTGACAGAATTAAACTGTTAATAGTGACTTGAATGACTAAAGAACTCCTGTATCATTTAGAAGAATTTCTCACTACAGGGTAATGAAGTACATGGCTAGAATGTGTGAGAATAATGCATCTCTTTCTCTAACTACATAGCTGAGCCACATTCACGACAAAGGATATCATCCTGCTGGGAAAGGAATCCTTGACCCACCAGTGAGATGGAACATTTAACACAGTTAAAGCATTCATTGTGCCACTGGCGGTCTTCAAATGAGATAAATTTGGCATCTCCAAGAGCTGAAAAAGAAATTTGAAAAACAGAGAATGCAATATGTCTGAAAATAGACTTTTCCTACTGTTGTCTTTCACACAGAAATAGATGTGTGCATGTGTATACGTGTGCACACACACTGGTAGCTAAAAGTCTGCTGTGGATGATACATTTGTCCAACATCTCATTGCGGGAACAAAGAGTTGTAGATGTGAGAAATATTTGCAATAAAATCCCAAACTGTGAAGTGATTGCCTGTTTTAACATCCTTTTATTTCCAAACACGGACTAGGCTTATCAAAATGCCCCCTAAAATGCTGAGTGCACTTTTCCAGTTGCACTCAGCCTGTTTGATAGTGAACTGCAATAGAAATCCTGCAGCATATGTGGTTTCAGCAAAGCAAATTGAAATTCTGTGACTTGCGTTTTTTTTCCTTGCCCAATATTCAAACTGAAACTCAATAGATTTGTGCCCTGTGAAACGCAGGTACTTGGAAAAGCCAACTTCTGGGATGGCAGTGACTCAAAAGTTTAATGATTAACATAGAATCATAGAAAATTAGGGTTGGAAGAGACCTCATGTGGTCCAACCCCCTGCTCAAAGCAGGACAGTCCTCAACTAGATCATCCCAGCCTAGTGAGTCTTAAAAACCTCAAAGGATGGAGATTCCTCAACCCTTCTGGGTAGCCTTTTCCAGTATACTACACTCCTAGTGAGTTTTTTCTTCATATCTAACCTCAATTTCCCTTGCTTCAATTTGAGACCATTGCTCCTTGTTCTGTTGTCTGCCACCACTAAGAACAGTCTAGCTCCATACCATTGGTAACCACCCTTCAGGTAGTTGAAGTCTATTATTAAATCCCTCCCTCAGTCTTCTCTCCTTCAAGCTAAGCATCTGAATTAAGAATACAGAAACAAGGAGGCTCAGGAATATACGAGGGGAGCCAAATGCTATCATATTTGATTGAATATCTACCATTTTCTTTTGCTTGCTTATATTTGTAACAAGCACCTATAATTAACTTCAGCATTGGACTACAGGGGTAGCAGATTAACTCAAATGTGTGGCCTCAGAACACTTTAATAATTATGGAGTGTTGAGGTAACATTTAATTTAGCCCTGTGGGCTTAAAATGTTTTATAATCATAAAAGAGCTTTGCATGATTGGCAAGATCTCTATTTTTATAAATGTGCTGTACCTGTACAGAATATTAAATATAATTAACCTACAATTGTAGTAGTTTTATATCTAATAAAACCTAATTATAGAAGCAATGTGTGTGCGTCTACAGTAGAGCGTGAGAGTTCTACAATATCTCTCTCCTGTAGTGATCCTGAATCACTCATTTGCACCTTTTCCACTTCACATATGTACAAGAACATCTATAATTCCTGAGACGGCCTTTTCAGCACCTAAAATAACTCTTAGTCCCGTGACAGATGTGTTCTGCATATTCTTACACACCATGTTACATAACATAACAATGGAGCCAGAATCTGTCTTTTTAAATTAATAATTAAAACTTCCAAAAACTTTAATTGCAAATAGAAGATTTTACTTGTTTGGATTAATTAAAAGACATCTGACCTGAGAGAGCATTGATACTATGGCAGTCTCAACTTACCAGTAATAGCGTTGTTGCAGGCTGAACATTTCTTTGCATAAAGATTGCTGAAGCAGTCCAAGCAATATGGATATTCGCCTTTGGAAATAAAGCGTTGTCCAGACAACTGCTGCTTGCAGCCAGCACACAGAAAGCATTCTTTATGCCATGGTTGGTTATTAAAGGTCACCCCGCCAGTAGTTATTACCTGTTATGTTAACAAAAAGCAAACAAACAAAAGAATAAAAACATGACTCACAAGCTGCAGTGATCAGATATTTCACCACAAAACTTCATTATTGCAAGAATTCAGAGCAATTTTAAGCTCTAAGGATTTCTAAGTTTCTCATTTCTTTTCTCTCTCATATGCTGAGAAAGGGGAAAAAATCTGTTTGTATTTTGATCTAAATATGTATTTTGGGGGGGCTATTCATGTTGGTTTGATAGCCAGCCAACCTTATACAAAGGGCAGATTGACTTTCCATGAAATTCCCTGGTTGACCACGGAGATACACATTTTGGAACACACAAGCTCTTGGAAAAGGATTCCCCAAAGATGGTGGTAAACTTATCTACGGGATTGTAAAGGTTACATTTCTATCTGGGGAAAAAAGATTGTTCTAACAACCAAGGAAAATTCTGAAGAAAGGAAAGCCATTTTTAGAGGGAAGATGGAGAAGGTAAAGTACTTTCAATGTCAAGGAATGTGTTTAATTCATGTGCCTCCAAACTTCAGATTGCCTATGGCCTCACTTTCTATTGCTCAAGGCTGGTTACTACCACAAAGAAGGGCCTTTAATACCTCTACTGCATTCCTTGCTGAGGTGGCATACAGAATTAATGGCGCTTAAGATATTGCATAAAAGAATACTGTATTTAAAAATAAGGATGAAAAGAACTGTAACATAAGTCTTAGTTGTCAGTTGTGTGTTTGCCATAGAATGCGTGTCAGCTGGCTCAGGAGATAGGACAAATAGGAGAGACTTTTTCTCTGCTTAAATAAAAATGGAGGCATCCTCATGTTTCCCAAAATGCATTATTCAGTAAAACTGCATTATTCCACTAACTTATTAACAACATAACCTTCAAATACGTTACCTGGAAAAATTAAGAGCTAGTAAAATTGGTTGGTGTCTCATGAAAGACAGGCAGGTGGTAAGAAATGTTCTTCATGCCAGCAATGTAACTGAACATGAGAGGAGTGGGAGGCAACCAGGGCACCAGCCCCAGGTGCTAACTATAAGGGGGACTATGAGCTGGACAGTGATGCTCCACACCTAGCAGTGCATCTTGAGGGTGGGAGGGATGAGTAGGGTGAGTGGATTGGTGCTCCCCCACCACTAGGGGTTTTTGTTATGGTAGGTGCAGCCCTGTACCCAATAGCATAGTGGGAGGAGTGGCAGGGGAAGAGTGCATGGAGTGCCAGGGGCAGCTCCCAGGTTGCCACTGCCGCCTACAGGTAGCCCTTGCTTGGCTTGCCTTTGCCACTAATATCACTGTGGCTGCCTGCAGGTGGTCCTTGCTCCCCACTGACACTACTGCTGCCCACGGGTGGTCACGGTGCCCCCCCCCCACCTCAGGGGGCACACATCGTTCATGCTTGGGCTACATTTAACTGTATCATGTCCTTTTATATTATAATTTACTTGTTTTTCACTACTGCTAAGTTCTAGATTCCAATTTATACATGTAGCCCTTTGGGAACAATTCTGTAGCCACTGACAGTGCTGTAGCAAGGAAGTTTGGCACCCAGGGCAAAGCCCGCCCTCGCCCAGCACACAGATCTGGGGGGCACATAGATTTCATAGACATTAGGGCTGGAAGGGACCTCAGAAGATCATTGAGTCCAGCCCCCTGCCCCAGGAGCAGGAAGTCAGCTAGCGTCAAAGGATCCCAGCAAGATAAACATCCAAACATTTCTTAAAAGCATCCAGAATAGGTGCTTGCACCACCCCTGGAGGGAGTGTATTCCAGGCCTTGGGGGCACAGACAGTAAAGAAGTTTTTCCTTATATTCAGCCTAAAATGGTCTTGGAGGAGTTTGTGCCCATTGGACCTTGTCATCCCTTGCAACACTTCAGTGAACAGGCATTCCCCCAGATCCTGATGCACACCCCTTATGTACTTATAGGCTGCTACCAGGTCACCCCTGAGCCTGTGATTTTCCAGGCTGAAGAGTCCCATGGCTCTCAGTCTCTCTTTGTAAGGCCTATTCTCTTGCCCTCTGATCATGTGCATGGCTCTCCTCTGGATTCTCATGCCCCCCCAGTGCTTGCCTGGGAGTGCATGCAGTGGCGGGAGCTGCCCCCCCCCCCGCAAACGAGCTGCTTGCGGCTCTGTCCTGCACCCTGGCCCAGCTGAGCAGCGCCTGTTGGCACCCCTTCACTTCAGCGCCTGGGGTGGTTGCCCCGCTCATCCCTTGCTTGCTACAGCACTGGCTACTGAATTTGTGAGACTTCCATCTTTGAAGTAGGGTGGATCTCTTTTATGAAGCAAAATTGTTCTGTTAATCCTGTGTGTGCAGTTTTCTTTTTCTATCACCAGAACCTTTCTTTCAAAGGCAAATCCTGTTTGTTCGCACAGCTTGTGGTTTGCCTGAGGTAAGATAAAGTGCTAGGGGCTTTATTTTTGTGATAGTGTATGCCAATTAATCATGATTGACTGTATCAATGCCAAATATATTTAAAGGAACATTCCAAAGATTAATTATTGACTTTATTGCTTAAATTACAGGGATTCAGTAAGGGCACAAACATACTGCTGACGATTAAGTATGTTTAAAAGTTAACTGATGCAGTGCAAGACTCTTCTAGGCAAAATGTACTTCAAGAACTGCTGAGAAGCAGAAGTGTTTCAAGGAACCAATAAAAAACCCCAGCTGTCCCTATTGTGGAATACTGTGAAGGTTTGTGGACAGATCATGTTTCATCATCACTCACGGATTGTTTTTGTCCTGAGAAATTGATGGAAGGCCAAGAAATTAATTTTTTTGTATAAGAGAAAGGGAAAAGAGTTTTCAAATGGCGCTTTCTGGTAAAGAGAAAGAGGCGTATATGTTAAAGAGGTGAATTATTCAGAATTTTCTTTACCTTTTAAATAGTGCTGTTTAATCCAGTTGCTACCTGGCATTGGGTTAAGAGAGATTTTCCAATAAGATCCTGAATACTTTCCTCATTGTAAATGTTTTGACTGTGCTTATATAAATGAATGACAATTGTAGAAAGAAGGAGAATTTTATGGGAACAATGAATTGCGCTCAGTATCCTCTCAGTTCATTTCTACACTATGAGTACGGACAGAGGAGCATGGACAGATGCCCTGGTGTAATTTACATTGGTTTTGCATACCAGTATAAATTACACTGGGATCAGCAACTGATAAACTATCCTGAGAGTTGAACACACAAGATGGCTATTAGGGCTGTGTGAAATTTTGGCAGCCATTTCATTTCGGAGGTGTTCTGGCCCATTTCAGTACCTGAATCCGAAATGAAACAGAGGGCTCCGAAACATCTCAAAAACTAAACGAAACCACCTGAAACATTTTGGATGTTTCGGAATGTTTTGGAGGCAGGCTTGCGGGGAAACAGAAACTCAGAAGAGGGAGGGGGAAGAGAGGAGGGGAAGGACTGCTCTGATATTGACCCCTGTAGCTGGCCAGTGCCTGTGATCTGTCCCTGACGTCCCTTCCAATCCCAGCGCTCTGGGGGAGGGATGGAAAAACAGCATATAAGGCTCTGTGTGAAGCCATTCTCTCTGCCTTTTGTGAGCTGTCTGTCTGGAAGCAACAGTGTGTGAAAGGTAGTGGCTGGCTGCAGTGACTGGCTTCCTAGTCAGTCTCTTGCTAGTCTCTCTTGGAAAAGGTTGGATACACCTTTCCAATATATTACAGATAGAAGATATAGTAAGCAGATAGAAGAAGATATATTGTACAGAGAAGATAAATTACACACACACACACACATTAAATACACACAAGATATATTACACACATTTTCTAGCACAGCAAACATTATGAAGCATGTTGGAAAGGCAGGTGCCAGGTCTTCTGGCAGGGGAGCAAGCTTGGCACCAGTGGGAGTGTGCCCAAAGGGAAGTCCCCCTCTCATTCCAAAGTCCCCATCCCCCAGAAGCAGAGGCAGGCCACCCTGGACCAGTGGGGGAAAGGTGGAGGGAAAGGGGGGCACATTCCCAAGGTGAGCGAGGTCACCCAGAGCACTGGGAAGATGCTTGCTCTAGATAGCGAGCCCTTCTCCTTAGTTGAGCAACTAGGGTTCAGGTGGCTTATGGAGCTCATGGCCCAATCATACCTTGTGCCCCCACACACCACCTTCAGCAGGATGGTGGTGCCCTCCATGTATGAGGCATGCAGGGAGTACTTGAAGGAGGAGCTGTACAAGGCAGGTCCACAGGTGGCCTTACACTTCACCTTGGATATCTGGAGCAGCTGGGGTGAAGATCATACCTACCTCTCCCTCACAGGGCACTGGTGTGATCAGTTAGGCCATCAGTGAGCTATCCTTCAAGCTGAGGTGATGGATGAGTGAGTCTCACAGGGCAATGGACATCATAGGGACCATAAACCTCATGGTGCAAGGATGGCTCAGTGAGCAGGGCGAGCTCACCTGTGGGTTCATGGTCACCAACAATGGGGCCAGTATGG